AATATTATATTTATAGATAGGTACTGGAGTACTGGAATAAATGTTTCACGGTTTAGCCGTAAATTCGAAGTTTCACATTTACACGTTCAACTATTGTTGATGAAGGTATCTACCAATAAATTAGTTTWAAAAAAATTAAACTCACAAAAATTCTTCTCTTGTTTCGTGTCTAATTGGATATTGAGGTTTAGATTCTTTTTGAATATTTTTTTTAATGTTTCTACAATTCTGATCGATTGGATTTTGATTATTTATAGAAGGGATGATTGGTCTATATGTTAGAAACTGGCTTGAATTACCCTGAAAATAGAATTTATAGGTGAATACTTCTGAAGATTCGATATAGTTCGATACTAGAAGCAGTAGAAGCTAATTATGCATTAAATATTATTAAGCTATGTTACAAAAAAATAAAAGCTTATCTTATAAGAATTTAATATATTATACAGGATGATTGATGATTATTTTGACGGTAAATTTATTAAGTATCATAAAAAGTATTTACTTGAATAATTTATTGATTTACAATATTTTAATAAGTGTAACTACTTTTGTATTTATTCTTAAAAAAAATATTTTAAGAACAATTTTAATAAAATAAAATAAATTTCAACTGGCTTGTGGCTATCCAGTTTATTTGATTTACATTAAAATTCTTATAAGGACTTACAATTGGAGGTAGCCTTGAATATCCAGATACTGTAGGATCACTGCATGATCTTTGATTTCTGGTTAAAATCGGGCTATCTCCATGACCGCAAAAAGGGCACGGACTAAGGCGATCTCCCCAATGATCTTCTGTTTCTTCACAAGATTCTATCTAAAATTTATATTTACRCCTTAAGAACAATACTACTTCATCTATTATTACTTAATCTGTAACTTTAAYTATTTATACACCTTGTGTCTATCGTATCAATTTAGTGGTGGATTTATAGGGAGAAGGGTAATTGATAAAGCATCCACCGCTCTGCGTATTTACATTTTTTTTTCTATTGCTGTTTAGTGTTATTAAAATAATATCAATACTACATACAAAAAAATGTTATCTCAATATTGAAATTTGTGATTGTATAATTCACTATTTATCGTTTATCCAATTATACGGAGTAAGTTTATAGTTTTACTAGAAAACGTGGCCAAATTATTTTTTTTTCATTTATAGACTTTAAGTGAGTGTTTAGCTACTAAATTCCAAGCTACATTTATCAAGTGCAATGACGAATTGAACGACTAAGGCTAGAATGTATATATGCAATAAAAAATGGTGAAATATGCATTTTTTTAAAATAAATTATGCAATAAAAATATTCAAAAATATACCACATAAATACTATTAAATAAACACAGTTCTATAAATTATTTTCAAATTACTTACGTTAAAATACACAAAAAAAAAAAAAATATATATGATAAAATAAACACTTAATTAAAAAAAAATATTTCTAAAATTATTAAAGCCATTCAAATGAATTACATAAATCAATTCCTCGGTTCCATCTTTTGCTTGACCTTAATACATTCTTTTATAAAACTCAATTTGGCATTCCATCACGTAATTTTTGCATACCTATCTAAATTTTGCTATTACTTAGGTTTTAYCACGACTTTACAATTGTCGATGTTTTCGATAAAAAGGTTGATTTATTAAACGATGAAGAGAAGAGACTATATCATCGTAAACATACGAACGTGTTAGATAAGACAGACTACGACCATCAAAGATCCAATTATGATTTTTCCCGACAATTTTAGAGTTATAAAAATCTGAAATATGMCCAAATATGCTAAAAATTGATCAAATATGCGCTTTTCTTAAAATATGATGAAATATGCAAATTCAACCTTTGTATTTGATTTCGTAATTTCATAAAACAAATTTATAACTAGCCTAGAACAATCCACTACAAAAAAACATGCAAATGCGAATAATCGTGGATAAAAATGACCCTTCGCTTTTCACCCAAATATTTTAAAACTACTTTCCCTTTTAGCCCAAGAATATTATATATCACTTTTCGATATAATTTTTATAATACACACTTTGGGAAACACTTACTTTAAATTATTTATACCTTACATAATAATAAATTTGTCATTTTTAAATTATTTATTTGTGTTAATTAGTTTTATAAAGCCATTTAGAATTACCCAGAGAGTACCACGAGGAGGCAGCTTCTATATTACTCTCCAAAAATGTATTGTGTTTTTGTACATAAATATAATTTTTATATGATATAAAAGTAAGTTTTTATCAAAAGTATAAATCGTCAGCATTTTGATATATAATATTAAATAGAATAGTTAAATGACATTGATTTAATAAAATCATACCGGTTAATTGTTCCTGTTTTATATTTTTTTCTTCATTTTTTCGTTGCCGATCTACAATTTTTTTTATCTTTGGGACTCCTTTGTAAATGCAGACTATTTAATTTTAATGTAGACTTCAGTTTGAATTTCATTAATAACACTTAACCAGGCATTTATTGGTGGAGAAATATGATTAAAACATTTAAAACTTTTAAAACTTTTGTTAAAAAAATAATGAAAAAATTCACACGCGTTGTTTGTTCTTATTAATTCCGACGTATTATAGATGCCCAAATACTTGGTGGAAATAAATTATCTTCAGAGATGTAAGTATCGGTTAAATAGTCACAGTAATTTGTTAATTTATTGTTATTTACCTACTGGGCAGTCAGATATTAGGTTTTCGACAAAACAATTTGATACTTCATCTGGATTTAAAAATACTATGCCAAATGCATAACGTATCCACTTACCAGTTTCTGAAGATTCGTCTTTATAGTAAGAAGTTAARCCACWCTTTCGAATATTTCTCCACCATGATTGAGTTAAATGAAATCGGCATCAATTATTGTTGTATTCGGCCAGATATTTTCAATAGCTTTATGGATTGCTAATTTGAAATCAACGGTAACCTTTTTTGGCGAGAATAAAAAACCAAGTGTATTACACTTTTCAATAATCATAGTAAACACAAATTCATAAGTTTTGACCGATTTATCAATGAGCAAACAAAATACTATGGGAGTATAATGTCCATTTTTAAATTCATGTAAAGTGAACATTTGATTAAAAAACTTTGACGCATATTTAAAAGTACCATCTACGTATTTATATACGACTTGGTTCAAGAATGATACATTTTTTTCACATMAAAAAATCAGTACATTTTTATTTTTATTATTGACTAATGAAAACGACTCTCCTCTAGTAGTAATTATTTTTTCTATTATCAATAAGGGTAYGCAGTTCATTAATATTAGTCGGATTAGGTGGGAGAACACTTGTACGAGCTTTATATAAATGTTTTTTTTTCTCGCCCTATTAATATCATTTGCATGAAATGTTGATACTGCGTGGTCATTATAAGCAATTTCCTTTAATAGTACCTACTTTTCTCGGTTGTGTATGCATATTTTCAACAGCTTTTGAATAAAAAATAACTGTCGAAAAACGCACTCCAACACTTCCACTCGAAAGTAAACGAAACTGCTCATGTATGTACAAGGCTAGTATACAATTATTATCATCTTATCTTTATATAAAATAATAAGCAGACTACACTGAGATCGATATATCTAAAATAATATACTTATAGTTTCCGAATATTATAAAGATAAGATTAAGATATTGACCGGTCCTTAGTAGATATATGTTAGACATAAATAATCAATGTCATTTAACTATTCTATTTAATACTATATACAGTGTGTACACCGATTTAGGGAACACTGAATTCTTCGGCCGGATTTGTTTGGAATAAATCGATTTTTTTTTTACAAACTGATGGTATAGTGAATACACATTTTTCGATACATTTCAAAAATGTTTGAGAATTTGGTCTGCGTATCTATTTTTTTTAAATAACAACACCTATTTTTATCACCATATTCGGATAGTCCTGTTTTTTTAAAGTAATTTTCATTTATCAACTATGGCTCTAAGTTCAATATTGACTGAATAAAAGTCATATCAATTTTATTAAATAATACATTTTAAAATTATTTTTAAACATTTATAATTAATTCTTATTGGATACTTTTTGAATATTTGTACGTATTTTTTTTTTTAGAAATGTTATAAACAAGTCTAACATAATATGGATACAACATTTTTTATTAAAAATCAACTAGGTACAAGTGTACAACTGTTACAAGTGAACAATAGTTATTTTATAATTACACAATAAATTAAATRAATTGTTCATAAATTAATTATAAATGTTTAAAAATGTATTATTTAATAAAATTGACATGGCTGTTATTCAATCAATTTGAAACTTAGAGCCATAGTTGATACATGAAAATT